CTGCTGAAAACTGATGGACATTTTCCTGCATCAGGAGTGGAGATTTGCTATGCTAGCTTACTTTAATAATTTATTGTAAGTTATCTTGTCTCTTATTGTAAACCATGTTAAGCTTTCTTGGAGAAGGGTGACCTACAAATCTAATAAATAGCTTTCCAAGCTAAAAAAATGTAGGATCAGGAACTTGCATAAGGTAAGGGTTATCTCTTATCTTAGCCCAGATGCAGGCTGTGGGGCTTTGTGGGCCACAGATGGACATGATAGTGAAGGTTGTCCTCTGTTACTGGCATGTGTCCCTAATAGGGCTCTGCATCAAGGATTTCAGTGGTGGACCCCCACACCTCCTTGTTCTGCCCCCAAATTCTGGCTGCACTGGGAGCCATGCAGGCCAGACAGTAAGGTGTTGTAGGCCATGTTCGACATTGCTGGTGTAAGGTGTGAAAGGACATATATTGTTTTTCACAGTATTAATGAGTGCAGTTACATATTCAAAACTGAGATAGCAAAAAAATCTTTATGCAACAGCAGTCTAACCTTTGAGGTGCCTAATTTCAGAGTATTCTGCAGCTGGAGCATTGTGTCCAGTTCTGGGTACCACACTTTAACAAGGACATGGACAAGCTTGAGAGAGTCCAAAGAAGAGCCACCCGTATGCTCAGAGTCTTACATGACAAGCCATACGAGGAAAGGCTGAGGGATCTGGGACTCTTCAGCCTGAAGAAAAGAAGGCTGAGAGGGGACTTGGTAGCAGCTTACCACTACACTAGGGGAGTACATCAAGGGCTTGGTGAGCAACTGTTCATCAGGGCACCCAAGGGGAAAACTAGGAGTAATGGCCACAAACTCCTGGAAGATTGATTCAGGCTCAGCATTAGGAAAAACTTATTCACAGTCAGGGTGTCAGACTGTGGAATAAGCTCCCTCCAGAGGTCATCTACCCTGGATATCTTCAAGAGGAGACTACACAATCACCTTGCTGGGGTCACCTGATCCCCAGTTATCTTTCCTGCTTGGTGCAGGGGGCTGGACCCAATGATGTTCTGAGGTCCCTTCTACCCTTACAATCTATGAATATTTCCCTATTTGACCTAAAGTTCTCTAGGTACCTGTAATTCTGTTTTTTGAACATGTTCAGAATTTCTCGAGTCTGAGGAGAGAAGTGCCTAGAACCTACTAATATCCAATAAGGATCAATGATCTTCTCTCACATTATCCACATCCTCCCCCCCCTGCCCCCTTGCCCCAAGCCACCTGTGGAACAGTTGGGGTGATCATTATAGTTGAAGAAAAGGGCTCCTTGTAGGTCTGGAAATTTGGCAGGGAGGGAGGAGGGCAGAGCAGTGGCAGGATTCGGAGTCATGGCAGTTAATGTTGGTACTGCTTCTCCTCCCCTTCTGCCGTTGCCAAATTTCCGGACTCATGGGGAGCTCCCCCTTCCTTCCCCGCTACATGCTGGATCAAGCCTGGTTGCGGAGTTGGCTCATGGCTGGACCTAGCACTCCAGGTCCAACCTCCATGTGCTGGCTCTGGAGTCATCTGTCTGGTTGGACCCAGTGTGCTAAGTCGGGGTCTGTGTGTTGTCTCTGGGGCTGTGTTTTGGGTTGTACCAGCATTGTGGCTCCAGCCCCAGCGCCGATGCAGCCAAAACAGAGCTGCAAGACTCTGATCTCAGAACTGGTATAGCCAGGTTGGGCCCTGGCACAGGGTCAGGGCCAGCTCCCAAGCCCCCAACCCTGGCACACGGCTCCCAAGATCCCAGCCACAGTGTGCAGCCCTCCAGCCCAGTTGTGCAGTCCTGGAGACCCAAGCTCTTAGCTACTTACCTGTACTCTGAGGTAAGATTTTCCTGTATTCTGAGGTAAGATTTTTTTTTTTTCCTTGGGGCCTTCCCAAGGTAAGGTGCAAGTTCTGTTTTGGGGGTACATTATATGTAGGGACCTATTTAAATTGCTGCAAGACAAAGGGTTTTTGACGGCCCCCTCATGGCGCACAGAGCCAATTTCACAGACATTTTGCACTGGGTCCTGCCCTTTGGCACTTATTGGCAGAGGCCCCACTTCGGCAATGATTGGTAGAGAGACTCTGGTAGGGGGAGGAGGGACAAGGGGACAGCCATCATCTTGTCTGCTGCCCTTTGTGCCACCCGCCATTCAGCACCTTTTCCTCAGGGCAGTGAGTACTACTGGGGAGCTGACATTTTATTTAAATTAATTTGTTTGTTGTTAATTTTGTGGATTTTACAGATAAGTCTGGATTTCATGATTTCTGAAAAACCACAAATTAAGTGGGTCCCTAATTATATGCAAGAAAATCTAGTAGGTGCTGCTAAAGTTCTCTGTGAGGCCAAGATCAGACACCTTGTGAATTGCCATGCTCGTAACTTACTTTCTATTGGGTATGATGGAAGAATAGAAGGAAACCTAGTGGTTAAAACATAGGGAGTAGGAGGTTTGGGTACAGTGACCTTATCTGCCTAGAAGGGAGTTTGAACTTGCATCTTCTCCCTCCTATGAGAGTTCCCTCACCCATAGGTAGATTAATGCATGGGCCACCTGGGCATGAGCCCAGGGGCCCTTACCACTTCGGGGCCTCAGGATCCTGATCAGCAGTGAAGCAAAAAATGCGGTTTTAAATTTGGCATGTTTCTGTCTCCCAGGAGGGAGGCAAAACTGGCGCCCAGTTTAAAACCCTGGCTTTTCTATTTGCTTCCCTGCACCCAGGAGCGGGGCCCCTCCCCCAGTGGGGTTGGGGGGGCCAGAACTGCCGTGACTGTGGGGAGCTAGGAGTGTCATGCTGCATTACACCTCTGCAGGCTGGCAGCAGCCCTGGAGGGGGCATAGCCGCTGGGGGCCCCCCCCACCAGTTCACCATAGCCACCCTTCCCAGCACTGCCACCCACACACACAGGTGCGATGCTGGGCTCCTGGCCTGAGTCAGCCTGGCCTGGTGCACAGGCACAGCCGCAGGGACACAGCTGGGCAGCAGCTCCCTGCTGGTCAGTGCATCAGGGGCTGGACGGGAGCAAGATAGAGCCATGTGGGGGGAGGGGGAGCTGCCTCAGAGTGCTGGGGAAGGGGGAGGTCATGTGTGTGTGTGCGCACATGCTCATCTGAGTGTCTGTGCATCTGAGCGTGCATGCATCTGTGTTCATGGCAGAGAGAGTATGATTGTGTCTGGGTGTCCGTGCACAGAGAGTGAGTGAGAGTAGTATGTGTGTGCCTGTATATGTGTATGTTTGGCTATAGCAGGGGAGGGCAGGTAGCAGGGAGAGGAGACGGGCATGTGCCAGCCAGCCTGGCAGGGTCCACCCAGCCTCCCCTGCCAACACCAGGAGGGGAAGGTCGCAGGGGGCCTCCAATTTTGTGTTTGCCCAGGGCCCCAGTACACATTAATCTGCCTCTGCCCTCACCATAGGGCAGGGGTGGGCAATTATTTTGGGTGGAGGGCCGCTTACCCAGTTTTGGCAGGCTGTTGAGGGCTGCATGGGTAGTCCCACCCCTTGACAGGTGCCCGACCCCCTGGTCACCATCTTGGGACCAATGTCTCGGGGCCAGTGCCAGTGGGACCCAGAGCGGGACGCAGGCTGGCAGGAAGAGTGTGGGGTCAGAAAGGACCCTGTTTGTAGGCAAGTGTTGAGGATTGCAGATGGATGTAACAGCTGGCACCATTTCTAAGCGAAGTGTGCTTGAAATGATTTCAGTGTACCATTCCAGTATACCAGTCCTAGCTGACACATTTCAAAATAAATGCTGCAGCCTTCTCTATACCCAGGTAGGGGGCTCTAGCACAGCCTGCAGGAACATACGGTTCTGTTCTTGGCTTCTGCCACCTCCTATCCTAGGGACGAGAGGTATAAGTGCTGGAGAGCAGAGAGGCAAACAGGCCACCAGGAGTCTGACACTCCAGCTCCTGTTTCCTCCATCTCTCCTTTCCCCTTCTCAACAGAGTGGAAAGGTACAGGGGACTTGAGCCCGAAGGACCAAGATTTAGCAGCAGTGGCATGGGTAGGTGGTAGGGTCTGGCTGTGGCTGGGGTTTCAGTGACTCTCTCTCTCTCTCTCTCTCTCTCTCTCTCTCTCTCTCTTCCCAGTTGAGATGTTACAACAAGTGAAATGCTCCAAAAATAGTATGTCATGTAAAAAAAATACTGTTTTGAGGTGTTTTAATTGTTTTTTGGAATGTTTCAAATAGCTTGTACATGTGGACCAGTAGCCCTTTGAAACATTTCAAAGATATTTGAAACTAATTGGTTGCTTGCAGACAGGGGGTGGGGGACATGCTTTACTTTAAAGTTGGCATGCTTTCATGCCAAGCCCAGCGCATGCTCAGAAGAGGCAGCACGTTAGTTGGGCTCAGCTCTGCAGCATCTATAGACTGAGCACTTTAGTAGGGCTTTTTTGGCACTTTTATCTAATAGTTGATTGAATCAGCTATTATATAAAAGCACCAAAAAGCCACGCTTAAGCACCTGATCTATACAGATGCTGAAGTGCCAGGTTGGACTAATGCATTGCTACTTCTGATAAAGCACGGTTTGTTTGGATTTTTTTCACGTCTGCAAGCAGCTTTTGTTACTTGTGTCCACACCCCAAAATTATTAGCTAGGAAGTGGTTCTGGGTTCTGATCTCTGCTTCCAAAACTGTTTATGCATTTTGCAAAAAAAGAAAAAGAATTTAAATTTACATTTGAATTTAAGTGAAAAGCCCCATGTGCTCTAACCCAGTGGTTTTAAAAGTTCCTGAAGTCATGGAACACTGTCATCACACTTCTGTCACGGAACCCCTACCCTTGTCTTTAAGACTGTGGGACCAGGTGACCTGTCCCAGTTGTGGTAGTGCATCACAGCCTGGCCCACTCTGCCATTGTCCCCTTATGACCCATTGTAGAAGCCCAGTGTTTGGCAGAATGCAGTTTGCAAGCCATTGGTTTAACTCAGATTATTGCTTACATGGTAAGCACTGCTGTTCTCTTCTCTTTTTCTTCATGCAGCTTAGGATCCAGCTCTAGATTCCAGGTGGATGCCTGTAGTTTTCACAGCCTATAATTTTTATTTAGATGCCTATGCTTGTAGAGAGGAGGATGGTTTCAAATGCTATCTGTAGCATTTACTATCAACTAGAGAATAAGGAGTTTTCTGCTCAGTGTGAAATGTACCTAATTTGTATGTGCCTAACTCCTTTTGCTCT